CAACTAATACAGAAACCTTTTAATAACCACAAATCAACAATCAAAATAAACATAGAATTTCTGGTCGCAAAACACTTTAACATGCCTGGACACACTCTTGAAGACATTAAACTGACAGGTATAGAGACAAATTTTACATTTAACAGAATAATGGAAATTAAAGAAGCTTACTGAGTAGCACTATTAAATAGTGTAACACCAAATGGCATCAACCTCGATCCTGGGATTGTTGACCTTTGTATGTCTCTGAAAAGATTTTGAAAACTAAATTCATAATTAAACTTACTTTACATTATTAGTATTATTTCCTATATATTGCATCACATTATCATTTTTCTCTGTTTCTCACCACCGTTTGCCATTATTTTATTTTTATAAAAATTGGTTAACATTTCTTATAACTATTATCACACTTAAGTCTTTTATGTACTATACACACCTCTTTGGCACAAACTAAACCTGACACCAACAACTCTAGGCTATGATTGGCTAGTTCTCAAGTCTAACTCATATTGAATATCTGGTTTATGTAATGTTGACATCCAAGCCTATATATTTCATTACACTCATTAAGCATAACCCTTTGTTATCCTGAAAAAGAAAAGTGAACTGTTTGAAAGAACTCAAGATTTGGGTCTTATTTGAAAACCATTACAAATTATTGTCATGGTTAGCATCAAGTTTAATTATTAATTAGTTTCCAAATCTTTTATTAATCAATATTTACTAACTATTTTATACAGATATATTAAAAACATCAAGCCAACATTTAATAGTACACAATAAATTAAAAATAAGACTGTCCCTAGTCTCCAAATACAATACAAAATTGTTTTACTTTATAATTTGACTGTATAATGATAAAATACCATGAGAATGAGAACAGTCTCATACACTCTACATGTTTCATCAGTTAGGAACAGTTTCATGCTGTAGCAGTATCTTATTTTATCTATTAATAATCTTTATACAGTAAACATATGAAGTGAAGTAATTTTTTATTGTATTTTGAGACTGGATACTATCTCATTTCAAATATTCATTGTGTACCATTAAATGTTGGCTTTATGTTTTCTTTGATATATCTGTGTGAAAACTTACGCAAGTGTCGTCCTAATCTTAATATTTTTCCTCTGATAATTTGCTGTCTTCAGGGAAGTTCTGAGAAGGACTGTTTCTGTGATGATAGTATTCAGGATTTGATCTTGCAGATATGGGTATTCTTCATATGGAGAGCTGGTGTACTACCCACTCGTCTGAGGTCTTTACCAATAAGAGTATGTCGGGTGGATGAAAAAATGTTCTTTTATTTTTGTCATGTATGGTTCATATACATTGTTGTTCATATACATCATGGTCCTCTTCTATTGTGGTGTCCAGAACATCATAGAAACAAAAAAGAGGAAATATTTTTAAATTGAAGAGCATAATAGAAATATAAAGACTGCAATAGCTCATTATGCAACAGGAGAAGAAGATCATACAGTAAGTTGGAATAACACTAAAGTAATGGTATGTGAATCACACAAGAAAAAAGAAGCTTTCTTTATCTATCTAATTGATAACACATTTAGTCAATCTAGATAGAAGTCAGCAAACCTCTTGAAAACATTCAAATAAGCTAATTCATTGAAGTTCTAACGGGGGACACCCCAGATAAGTGGATAGTACATCAGCTTCTCCGTCAAAAAGACCCAGGATCAAATCCTGGCCACTACCATCACAGAAGTAGTCCTTTTCAGGACCTCCCTGAAGACAGAAACAGATTAACAGCCAAAATTTGGGATAAAAACTATTTATTAATTAGTATCTACCAATAATAGAACTATCTAGGAGTTAGACTTGTGTGAATCATATAGGCTATTAACCATGACAGCAATTAGTAATGGTAAGTTTTATGTGTATGCTTTGTAAATATAGACCCAGACAACTTTTGTCAGGATAATCATTTCTTTCCTAGAATGTTAATTATGAAGTAGTTTCACTCAATTTATGTAGGTTGCTGACATAAACTTTAAAAAGAAAAACATTTCAATAGGTATATTATGTGAAGAGATAAGTTTAATTAAGTTATATGTAGGCCTCTTATCAAACCGTTTTTGTTTTTGAGATAGCTCAACTTCATACTCAGAATAACTTGATCCCTCACACATCTGCCTAGGTGAGTTGCATGACACTAGCCTTGTTTAATGTGAACTGTGCTCGTGCATTATGACATCATCATACAATAATAGCTTTCCACCAATAGGAGGGTGACACAACTTCCTTGCACTGTAGTTCCGCCTAAGTACTTGCACTTGAAATAACTATTTGTTTTCCTCGGCAATGTCTAGAATGAACATGCTTTAAAACTGTGAATCAATTACTTAAGATTTGCAAATGCTTCTTAATGATTTAACTCCCATTTCAGTTTCCCTGGATTTGTCTTTGTGATTCACAGAACCAGCATGTTTGTTTACATTTAATTAGAAAAAAAAATCATAATGGTGTTTCCTGCTATTGTGAATTCTTAAGTGACAGTAACTTTCACTTCATCCCATGATAGTCACAATGCTTTTAACATGGGACATATGTATATTGTGTCTAGTGAGAGCTCAGTGTTTGTGAAGGATATGACAGCCATTGTTCACCTTATTGTAGGTTGCTTCGTGCATAGTGGGCCTTCTCCTCCTCCTGTACATTTTGCACATCATCAGAATGATTTGACTGGCTATTTCCCCCTCCAGAGTTTTCTTTAGGCATGGCTTTGTCAATGGAGGAAAATTCATCTCCCTTATAATCTCTTCCTTGACATCATTTTGTGGGCATGTTTTTTACTTTCTCTCTCTTATTTGTCTCTTGATTCTTCCTGTGCTTTACTGCATGAAACCCGTATTTAAGATAACTTTGTCTTCTCTCCTTCACCTAACATTAGGGTCCATGCAGACTTGTTTCTTGAACAACTGAACACCTGTACTAACATGCTTAATCCTCCTTGTCTACTTGACTTTTTTTGTCCTGGCTTACAGCCATTCTTCAATTCCATTCCTCAATTCCCAGTCAATGGAATCTCTTTTACCTGCTTGAGGAGTGGATCCCTTAACTTCTACTTCCCTTTATATTGCCCAATTTGCCTTCATCTTTTTCTTATCACCTTCCTGCATTACCTCTTGTTACTTCACTTTACGTTTGAGGCACTTTATCATGCACCAGAGGGGTTTACTGGAGAGGTTCTTTCTTTTCTTTTCATAGCATTGGCCCATACTTATTCTGCTTTATCCTTCCTTATTTGGTTCCTCTGCTGATGGGACTGGATGCTGCCCTAGTTAATGTACACCTCACTTACACTAATCTTATTGATCTTTATTGGGTTCCATTTTTTTATCCAGAGGTCTGAAAACACCTGTGCTGTGGTGGCTCAGAATAAGTACTCATTGTCTGCTGTGGTTTCTTGTTGTTCTTAACCTCACCATTTTGTTCCTAGACTTGTTGAATCTACCTTTCCCCATTCAAGTTTTTTGGCCTTCTTCTACTTCCCACCCTCCCACTTTTTGATTTCAGAGTCATTGCTCATCTCATTGCCAACCATCCTGTCAGGTCTGGCCTATGTGGGCTCATCTCTGTCTCTGTTCCCCAGCCTTTTGGTCTCTATTTTCATCCAACAAATGGTTTCTTCTGGTTCTCTCCTACAGGCCTATCTCACTTCACCTCCTCTTCTTTCCCCTTTTCTGTTTCCTTTCCTCCTCCCTCCACTCCCCTTTATCTTCAATGTCTGAAGGATGTGATCTTAGCTCTTTTAACCAAGAATGACAATTTGAGGGTGTTTACCTCTACACCTGGTTATTACTCTTCTTCTTTTTGTGGTCCCCAAAAAGACTGGAGATTGTTGTCCAGTTATTGACCTGTCATCTCTCAACTTGTTTCTTATCATTCCTCAATTCCATATGCAGAGTTTCTTTTCTCTCTTGTGGTTCTTTTCACCAGGACTGTAAACAATGAAGGTTGATGTTTTGGATGCCCTTTTACACATTATGATCACCTATCCTCCAGACTTTTTCATTGTTTTGTCCATTAGAATCAAATCTTCCAGTCTATGCTTTTCCTTTTGGCATTGCATCTGCTCCTTGTGTCGAGTCATGGGACAGTTGTCCAGCTTGTTCACAGATTGGGGTTGAGGTTTCATTAGTACATGGATGATGTGACTTCTTCTTGCCTCTTTTTGGAAGGACTCCCCTTTCACACACCAGCATTCTTTTGTGAGAGGTTACATGGTTAGGTTGGTTTTGTCAAGCCTTTCAAGTCTTTTATCATGCCTGACTTATAATCAGTACATCTGAGTGTGTTCTTCAACTCCCATCTCAATTAGGCTCAGCCCTCACTACTTCATCTACAAGAAATGGAATGTCTTACTGCCAAGAGTTATGCTTCACTTTTACACCCTGCACGTGAGTTTTTTTTGCTTTCAGAAACTCTGGCTTCCCTTAAACCATTCATTCCTTTAGGCTGTACACAAATGTGTCTCCTCCATTGGAAATTGCAGGACTAATAGAACCTTTCTTAGGATCCATTTCCTCAATTGTGAGCTTTCCTTTCCATTACTTGAGGGATTTGGTGGCTTAAGCATTCCAACATCACAATGAGCATTCTCTTTCCACCCCACATCCCTAACTGGATCTCACTCTCTTCACAGGTGCTTCTCTGTCAGACTGGTGTGTTTCTCTATGTGACTACATGGATTGGGCATGTGGGCTGCAGAGGAGCATTTACTCCACATCACCCACTTTGAACTTCCTGCCATCTGTTGGGCATGTTCCGATTCCTTCACTCTTCCAGTGAATCAGTTGGTCATTATGCACTCCAATAATTAAATGATAATTTCTTATGTCATATTCAAGGAGTACTCATTCCAAAACTCTTTGCTTTCACACTGGATCTGTTTGAGCTCATTATCATTAGATTTGTCTCTTGTCTTGTCATGTGCTGGGTGCTTTGAATTTGGTGGTCAGTTGCCTCTCTCTCAGCTAGAGAGGGTTCCACCAACAGAGTGATTTCTCCACCCTCAGATTCTTCATTGGGTTTACCCTCAGTTGAACATGTCTTTCATTGATACCTTTGCCATTCCTCTCAACACCAAATTTTCCCTCTTTTGGTCCTTAGTTCATCCTCTTTCAGTCATGGCAATTGATGCTCCCAGCCAGGACTGGTCTCACTTTTTTTTTGTATGTCTAACCTCCTCTTTGTCCTCTCCCTCATGTCCTTGCTTTAATATGTAACACTCCTTGTCGGATCCTTTTGGTGGTGCTTCTTTGACCATCACAACCCTGATTTCCCCATTTCCAGTGCACTTTCTTTTTCTTTGTCTAAGAATGAAGTTAGTTCAAGCAAAAGTGCTTAGGGGAACTACTGCACAAGGTGGTTGTGTTGGCCTCCTATTGGTGGAGGATTATTGTCACATGATTATATCATCATGCACTATTGCAGTTCACCTTAAACACGCTTTTTAGATAGGGAGTAAGCTGAAAAGTTAGTAGCATGCAAATCTCAAAGGCAGATGCACAAGGGATCAAGGTATTCTGTGTAGAGAGGTTAGTATCTATTAGAAATACATTTTTGGGTAAGTAAAATGTTAACTTTCAGAGGCTTAACCTTTAAAACCTGTATAATTGCTAAAATAACCTGTAATAGCCCATAACTGCCTGTTTTTTAATGCCTCAGTCTGTAAAAAATTAATATTTCAGAAATAAAAAATTTCACCCATTATTTAAAATGTAAAATTCAGTTCTTACTTGTACCTCTCATACACATTTCCTGAAACAGACAGTCAAGTGACACAAATATTCTCAATTAGAAGGTAGGAAAGATTATTGTCAATCAGGTAGAATGTGGAAAACAACTGTGTTTGAAACATAAACAAATATTTGGTCCTCTAGCAGTTAATACATTTTAGTTTAGCACTTCCACAAGAGTGATTTTGCTAAAAGTAACATTTAGGTCAGACAATTTCAGTCTGTAATTTGTCAAGTTTAGCTTTCATTGTAAGATTGGCAGCAACGGTGTTTTTTATTAAAATGTGATCTCATTGAGGAATGTGATACTGTTGATGCATCATCTTTTTTTGTACTTAATGGTGAGAATGGTAGAACTAGGGGACACAAATATAAACTTTGGTAAGATAAGAATTATCTTCGTCTAAGACAGTTTTTTTTTCTAACGAGGTTGTTGGCCTTTTGAATGTGTTGCCTTCAGATGTGGTGAGCACAGTAGATTTAAGAGAGTTTGAAGGAAGGCTTGATAGACACTTGAATGATAAGTGCTGGCTTTGCATTTTTTTCAATATTTTAGTTCAGTGTATGGGACAGCCTAGATGGACTAACAGGTTCCTTGTTGCCCTTAAATATTATGTTATGATTGGAGCTATTGTTGAAATGGATGTGCAGAATAACCTGGTGTGTAATTGTTAATTTTATTTGTTCTTATTCAGTGTATTGTAGAAAATATTATTTCATGACTTCTGTGTTGTTAAACTTTTGAACAAGTAAATAACATTTGTTGCTTTTACTCCATGTGTACTTTTTCTTTTTTTTCTGGTATACAGTGTACTTGAATATAAGACATGATGGTACTTAAGAAAGGAATAAGCCCTTGTTTAGCTTGTATTACTGTTAAGTAGAGAAATGTTTCAATTTTTTTGTAGGTTGTAGCTTCAAGTCCTTTTACCAAAGCTCTTCTCTCGAGATCAGGAAACAGACTGGGAAAAAGTACAATAACAGTACGTATTATTCTTCAATTAACTATTTGTTTATATTTGTAAAACATGCTAATTTATAGACTTTGTATTAAAAAGTAATAAACAAGGGTAAATACTTGGATAACAAATTTTCTCCATGCTTACATCAGGAGAGATTCATTAGGTCACTTCATACTTAGTAAGAATAAATGTGATCTACTTGACAGGGTGAGTGAATATGTGCCGTATAAATAGTTTTACACTTATGATATTGTTGAAATAGTTATTAACTTATACATCAGTTGAGTACAGAAATGTCATATTGCATGTTATTATGGTCGTAGTAGTAACCATGAACCAGTTTTGAAATATTTCTTTTAAATGTCATCTGTAATGTGAAGCTATTTGCTGAAAAACATAATACTTTCCATTTTATGGAGATCTTGAATATAATGAATTTATAGAACTTGTGTTGTTGGTGTGATTTAGTTCATGTACAAAAGTTATACAAATCTCTTATATGTTCTCTCTGTTTCTATAATCGAATTTTTATTGTATGTTGTCTTGGTAAATTATAAAACTGGCTCTGAGAGGTAAAAGAAGACGCTGTTTGTTAGTACTAGTTAACTTGAACCTGTGATTTGTTTATTAATTAGATTCAGCTGCATTAATATTAATGATAAGAATTTGGAGTGGAGACAAATGTTATATGATGTACTTATTTGTTTTACAGATGAGGCATAATAATATTGTGGCATTCTTGAGGAAGGAAGCACATTATGTTGATACATTAATAGATAGGCACGCAATGATTTATGAGCATAAGCTTGCCAAATATGTTAGAGGTGAATTCCAGACATCTGATCTAACATATCATCAGTATGAAGCAGGTCACAAAATACTGTGGAATGAAATTTCCAACTACACCAACTCAAAACCAAAAACGAAAGAGACTATTTAGAAGCCATAAAAAATCATCAAAGCTAAGGATCTCTAACTAAACTGTGATGATAGTCCCAGCAACATAAACAGTATTCACTGCCCACACAATTGACCAGACTTGACCTTTAGCTATATATCCGGTAGCAACATAAACAGTATTCACTGCCCACACAACTGACCAGACTTGACCTTTAGCTATATATCCGGTCACCTGCTGACATTATTTCCATCTCCTTTTGTCCTCATAACCTTAGATAAACTGTGTATAGCTTAGTATTGATCATACCTGAAGAAGACAGGCCAATATTCTATTAAAACATGTAGTATGTTCCACCACGAATAAACATTTTTCTTTATGCTAATAAATCGTTTTGTGCATACCTATTGATTAATGTGGCTTGTTCCTTCTAGTAAGTACTGTGGTTTTGTATTTTATTTATTTATGTACATTAAAATGTCTTTTGTATTCTGCTGCATTGGTAAACTGTGTGGTTGTTTGTTGCTAGGTTACTGCTGAAGAGGTAGACACTTTTAGCAAAGATGTGCTTGTTCTATCTTTTAGAGCTGAAAATCTTGATAAAAAGGTATGTAAATATTGATTTTTTTTGTGCCTTAAGGAGGGAAATTACACTTTTTTATAAAAAACATATGGATATATGTTGTTTCTGTACATGCACAATTAAGTTTTGGATGAACATCAAATAAACCAAGTTTAACATCATGGCTGAAATATTTATTTATTTTTCTTCTTCATATGTTTGAAATTATTGCTGTTCAGATGAGCATCTAACCTTTGATTTCAAAACTATGAGTGAACTTAAGAACTATTGTAACCTTTATTTTATTTCATATTGTTTTGCCAGCCTACAGTAAAAATGGTTTTGAATATTGTAACAAAACTTGGGCAATATTACTAAATGCATCATTGCGCATTTTGTAGGGTAGTTGTTAAATTTATTTGACTAACTAGCAAATAACATGGCTGTATAACTGTTGACATCAAATCATTTTAATGTAGTCTGTGGTTTATATGGAGCCACAAAATTTAGTACATGAATGTATATATAGCTGTAATTTAATGTTTATATGGCAGGCAAGACACATGTACCATAGTGATTATTAACTTGTATAAGGTTCCTGCCCGTTTGGACACCATTGCATGATCGACTTCACCCATGTTACACAAATGTCTAAAATGTTATACAAATGTCTAGGCTGTCTCCCATAACAAAAATCTTTAAGCCACAGTTTATAAGATAGCACCAAGCTCAGTTTTGAGTTTCAGATTGGGAATTACGGTGATGGCTAATAGTAAGCGTTGAATTATAACCAACACTGCATGAGTGCAAATTTTATAGATACTGCAGATATAGTAGCCATCCTCGAAGCTTAACTATAAGAAGTGACAAGAATCGTGTAAGCAGGAGATGGTAAAAATGATGGTGATTCTAGGTGAAAGTGAGGCAGAAAGTTTGTAGCTATATTCGATGACGAGGAACCCACTTTGTAGCTATATATTTTATTTAAAAAATATTTAGTTTTAGATAAAGTATGCAGTAGCAATGGCCCACCGGAATTTAGGGATCTCATGGTGGAAGAGGGTCATAGAAGTGTCATAACCCAAACTACATAAGAAATGGAGGGGGGGGGGAGGTATATTAATATAATCAATTCATAATTGTTAATTAACCCTATCTGACTGGGCATCATTTACTGCTCATGTCTTGAGGTTTTAGTGGCTTACATTAAAAATTTTATTAAACTACATTTTGTTTATGTTATACCTATTAGTATAGCATAAAATCATAGCTAATAATCCATATTTTAATACTATATAAATTTTAAGTTCTTAATTTTATAAGGCAATATTTAAAAAAATCCTGAATTTCCCCTAGTGTGACAAAGGTGACACATTTTCTGTAGCCATCCTATCTTCTCTATTTTATTCACCAATCCTCCAATAAGTACAAAATTTAATGTAAATTACTCACTATAAAATCATCATTGCTCAGAGAAACCTATAATTTTTATAGTTTTCAATTTTATTTGGTTACGGAGCCATCAAATAGAAAATCAGACCTCACTTGCCACACCCACCTGTCACATCCTTTCTTTCAGGATTTGTTAATAGTTCTTTGTTATGTTTAATTCCATATGATCTATAACCAATAGAAAGCCAAGGTTTTCATCTATGAAATGACATATCATATTGTGTTGTGTTCTGAACAGAGAATTGTCAATTTCTTTGTTAGTACAAGCTTTTTTTCTATGGAAAAGATAACGACTAGTTTGGATGAATTTGCAACAACCCTTGTTGCATAGTTAGAAAGCCAGAAAAATTGTCTCTTTTTTGCATTTCATTATTCTATATTCTTTGGTGCATTATTTAATTAAATGAAAATTATTTAATGCATTACTACCGTTAGTATAAAAAAGTAGGATTAAGTGTCATCGACCATCGGCAGCAAAGAAAAAGAAAACATGGGTAAGTACTTTATTTCCTTTTTTCATGTTTATTCTTCATTTATTACTATAAAAGTAACTAAAATGTAAAAATAGGGATCTCTTTAGGTAAATCGTCATGTGACAACCCTCCACCAATAGGAGTGCGACACACCCTCCTGATACATGTGACTTCCTCTATTCAATTCTGCCAAACTATTACTTCTTGTTAGGTAGTGATTGAGTGCAGTTGCTTTTAAATTGTGCTGTTTTCACATGTTAATTATTTTTTTTTTGTGAAGTAGTGATTTATTCATTTGCTACAGTTTTTTTCTGTAGTAGTTTACCGTGAAAACTTACCTTTGTTTATTGATTTTTTTATCTCATTTTCAACTTGTTCATGGTTTACAATGAATTCCAAAGTTTGTTTTACAATTTCTGATATTATTACCACTACTTCGAGTGCCATTACTGGCTTCAGGTCTGTCAGGTGTGTTCTGTTTCCTCTTTTCTGTTTTTACATGACATCCATCATTAGGGTTCCTTGCTTTCCCTCCTTCCTCCCCCTTGGTGCTGTTGTCTTCTTCGACCTTATCCCTTCATATGTGGATTTGTTGCTCTTGGGATCGTATTGGGAAGGATGCTGTCTTTTCACAAGTTCGTCTACCTTCCCTTTACCTTTGTGACTTTCAGATGGCTCTTTTTCTCCATTGGTTTGTTTTTGGAGATTTTCCAGAGTCTTTGGTTATTTGTTTTTCTCATTCTGATACTATGACCTCTCCCATAACCATTTCTTATCCTGCAACCTCCCATCTTTTACCAGTTCCTACCACTAAGGTTTCAAAATTTTGCCACGTGTCTAAAAGTCAGTTCATTGTTGCCAGCAGTTCCAGTGACTTTCGAGTATTTCAAGTCTGGTGGAGGTACGTTTGGTCAATTTTGTTCCTTTGTGGTAGTTATTCACTACTGATTCTGGTGTGATCCAACTTTGGACACAAGGATTTTCATTCTTTTCCTTTCCACTTTTGTCTCCTGTACTGATTTCCTTCCCGTTAACTTGAGATCCAGCTACCTGTCAGAGCCTATCCAAGGTTACGCTGACCCTTTTATCACAGAGAGCTATCATGTCTGTCAGCCAACCTTCTCCAGGATTTTACTGTAGGTTTTTTTTTGTTCTGTGAACCATCTGTCTTACTTTAACTAGTTTCTTGTTCTTTCCCAATTTCCCATGAAGTCTTTTATACTCAAACCCCTTTGAGTATACCCTGATGATTGTAACTGTGTTATCAAAACTAGTCAGCTGAAAATTTTTTGATGTATTTTATTTTTCATTGTGACAAAATACATTTTTTGTTTTTCACAGTTAATACAGTAACACAGTGTATCTGAAAAGAAATTATAATCCAAAATTTATTTGTCATATAAATACTTCAGTAAATGTAAGAAGGTTGAAAAAGAAGAATTAAACTTTAGTGTGTTTTTTTCTCTGTAATACAGTATTATACTAATTTCTCTTGTAATTGTTTCCTCTCATACAATTATTAAGTTTTAAGGTTTAAACTTCTACAAATATTGTATTTTTATACAAGAAAAGAATATCATAAAATAAGATATATATAATGCATATGGAAACAACTGACACTACAGTTAAATTCATGATATTTTATTATTATATGGCTATGGTTTGTTGTAAGTAGAAAATCCTTATAACATGGGTTAAAATATGCCCTATTAGTTAATTTTTACAATGTAGCCAAAAAGGAGAAAAATGTTAGCATTAAATTATTTCTGTGCGTATCAGTTCTTACCAGTAATCATTTATGACTCTCAGCATCGATGGTCAACAACTGACTTGTGCTATAAGATCCATTAAAATCAACAATTCAATAAACTTGACTCTGACAATATAGTATGTAAGTAACAGTAATGTTCTGTTTTTGATAATTTGTGGCCAAGAATGGGATAATTGTCAGTACAGACTTATTCTACCATCAGTAAATTATGTCATATAGCACTTTGAGAAACAAAAACTCACTTTAACTCCAGCCAGGTTTAGACATTTTTCATTATATGTTGAAAAATTATTTTAACAACTGAAATATCACCTTATTTTGATGCTTTTTTTTGTATGACTCAATAAAATCAGAACAGAAAGTGGTGATAGTTGATTTTGTGTCAAGAAGAAGGTAAATGATGAATACTGTATGATAGCATATATTTCTCGTAATTAAAATGTATGTGTATTTCTCTGTGTTTAATCAATAACATGAATTTAAATATTATTACCCTTGATATAAGGTAAAAAATGAATTTTAATTTCTCTAAATTTAAGCTATAAGCCTAGTTTTTATTGTTACTTTAGTCTGATCATACTTTTTTACTGGTGTTCTTAGTTATAAAAATGTAGATGTAGTAGTAGGACAATAGTTATCATGATATTTACAGTCTTATTTCCTATAGTTTGTTGTAACATGAGAAGTTAACCAAAAATATACACAAGATATTTCCATAATTAAAGCTTTAGAAAATTAGTTGAATGATTCTTATGACATAAGAATTACCTCTGTACTAAATACAGAAAATAAGATTCTGAAAAAGTAAAAAAAAAATAAAGTTTAGTTTGTTCTTTTTTTTGCTTTAATTTCATCTGGAAATTGTACAAAATCTTGTGAAGTAGAATAGTTATTGAAAAATAGTAATACATGTTTTAAATGATAAATTTTGTAATTTAATAAACCATTATATTATAAGAATAGTTGTATCTTGTTATTCAAATTTTTCATCTTTAATATAGTTGTCAGAAAATTGTGCTTATGCCAGATTTTATTGTATAAGATTATATGTCCCACATAATGTCAGTATAAAACTTGATGGTTACCTTTACCTGTAATCTACTGAAATCACAAATTATTGAACAGACTGGAAATAATTTTGACATTGAAAATTAGAGATGGCAACTATCTATGTTTAACTATAATGTGTTGAATAAACTGAGATTGATTCTTACATTGAACTACCTGAGTGACTTCGTGAATCTGTAATATGCTGAAATCACAAGTTATGGAACAAAATAAAACTATAATTCCTACACTGACATTAGGGATGGCAACTGCCAGGTTGTTTTTGATACTGATTTTGTTTTGGACTCATCACTAAAGTAGAAGTCTTGTTACGAAGCCTGAAAAAGTTGCCAGTGTTGAAAATTCTAGAGAGTTTATGCTAATAGATATTCCATTATTTTACTTCCTGCCTTAAAGTTTATTAAATCAATTTTTATTCAGGTGTGTGTGATGAATACTGAAAGATTTTGTGTAGATCCATCTTTCTATCTCCAAAACTAAATGTTTGAGAAACATATTAATAAGCCTAACTTGCTAAACGTTTTTTTTTTCCTAAGTGTTATTCCACCTTCCAAAATAATAAAGTAGTGACCACATGTTATATATGGGTTTAAAACATAGGAGCGTATAGATGTTTTAATAGATAATGAATAGCATTGTCCTTTTTTTTTCCATAACTATGGATTTTAAGGATAATATACTGTGTTTGTTTTCATGAAGGATTTTCTTGGGAAGTCGGATCCTTTTCTGGAAATTAAAAGACAGTTACCTGATGGTAGCTGGTTACTTGTTCATCGTACAGAGGTAAGATATCAGTTTATTTCTTAAAATTAAAGCAACCTGCTTACATTAATATTATCATAGTCTTTTATACATACTCAGAGGAGAAAGTCCTGACCACCATTGACCAAGTTGGATTTTCAAAATGTCAGGAAAGAGAAGTATATAATGTGCTCTTATATATATTCAGCAATACATGATTAATTTAGATTTACAGAAATCTCTGTGAATATTTTATGACTTTATGTTTAAAAACTGTTCTTCAACGCATGATAATCTATCATATAATTTGTTTTCATAATTATAGACAAATCAGTCAGAGAAAGAATTAAGCACAGTTGCAGTAACAACTGGTGCACTGTACTTAACCCTATAGCCATGTGTATCCTTTA